AAAAAAAAAAAAAAAAAAAGAAAAAAGCAGGAGGCAAACTAATCCATAGAGTATGGCAACTTGTATAGGAAAGAAAGGGTAATATGAATTTGTGAACATTACATATGCATGCAAAGGGAAATACGGGAAAGATAAACCAGAACAGTGGTTACCCACAAAGGAAGCGGGGAATGGGTTAGAAGGGTGTGAGGCTGCTCTATGAACAACTTACTATCTAGTTGTTGCTTCTGAACCAGGTCTGTGTTTTACATACTCAAAATAATAACAAAGATGGGGGAGGAAACTAAAATGTGATACAAACAGAAACAAAGGAACACAACCCTACATTAATTAATAGCACAATCACACAGAACAAAACAGTTATGCAACCCTTGAGTACAGTACTCTGCACACCTCAGCAGAACATATTCTAAGGCCAAAAAGAACTGCAAAGAACTCTTGACCTCTGCTTAGTAGGTTTGTTGCCAGTAGTGGTATTGGCGTATTAATTGCAAGCAAATGAATAAATATATGGAAGTTTCTTGAAACCAGAGTTTTCAGTGTAGAAGAAAGGAGATATCCACATGGAATAGAGGGAGACAGGGAGGAACCCTGAGATACACAATTGGAATTAGAGTTGTGTGTATAACATGCTCATGATGTTTTTTTAAAAAGTACCTACTTCCTAGTTCTGTCTGCTGAGACATGCGCACACACAGAGGTAGAGGTGCTTATATATAGATATAGTTGTAGAAATGTAAACATACGGAGACATAGAAAGAGAAAAAGCAAATCAAACAAACCGTCAACAACCGTTGGATCTAAGTGGAGGGTATATGGTCACTGTACTTGCAACTTTTCCAAAGGTCTGTGATAGCTCAAAATAAAAAGCCAAGGAAAAAATAGTTTGTCTTTATCATTGTGTCCAATTCAATTTACCATTTTAGTTGTACTTTTTTTAGCCCTGATTCTTCTTTCTTGATAGCTGGTGGCTGAAACAGCCTACGGTAGTAATGAAGGCACAGACACGCCACCACTCTGAGTCGGGGGAGAGATTTCAGTTTGGTTTTACATACTCTTTTGTAGAATCCTGTAGAACCTGGCAGGACTGGATTCTCTAGGAACCAGCTCTCATGACTCCTCAGGCTCCACATTTGGGAACACTTTCAATTACAAATTTACAAGCAACATTAATACTCATGGGTTGTTTGTTTGCCCACTCCTGTCAACACATGAGATCTTTCTATAGATCAGCCTCAGATCAGATTCTTCACGATTTAGAAGAACTTAGTATCACTGACTCGGTCAACAAGTATTTCATGAGCAGCAGGCACTGCTGTAGCACTGGGGACATGACAGTGAACAGGCATTTTAGACGTAATGGAACTTACTTTTTAGTGGCAGCTGATAAACGATAACAAGTAAATAATTAAAACAGACTATGAGTTTGACAATTAAGGTCATGAACTCATCCTAGAAAAAGTGCTATATACCTCATTGTTACATATCACTACCATCACTAGATGGTGAAGAGGAGTGCTTCGAAGGTGACTATAGTCTGAAACAGAGGCTAGGGAGAGCTGGGGCTGGGCAGGCATGAGAGTGAAGGTGGAGGTGAGGGGCAGGCAGCACTGCTGTATGTAGGTCACTGTCAGTGTTTGACCTTGACTCAAAGTGAGACAGGAGCCTTAGGAGGGTTCTCAGTAGAGAGGTGGTGTGGTCTGACTCCCATTTTTAAAGACTTAGCTAAAGCAAAACTACTTCACTGTGTTCTCTCATTCATACAGTGGTTAAGTTGATTACCAAACTGATCTGTGAGGAATCCTTTTTCTTTCTTTGCTACTAATTTATGACACCCTCCTTAATAACAACTGGAGCTCCCACCAAAGTGGTTCCATCATGGGGTCCAAAAGGAGTATTTGCATTCACAGGTGCTTTGGTCATGTCCACATCTTTGAAGATGAAAAGCAGTATGGTTGAGGTTAGAGGAGAGGGGGAAGGTTGAAGCCATGTGGGTATAAAGAGGTCATCAAAAGGGCATGCCTCTCACAGGGGGCAAGATGGGTGTTCCAAGGGGGAAAGACGATGGAATTGGCAGAAAACTGGGACACCTGGCAAGACCAGAGAACCAGAGGCAGAAAACATCCAAGCCTCATTACAGAGAGTTATTAAATTCATAATAGCAGGTCAGGACTTGGGAGAGTGACACACCACACTGCTCAGCCATGACAGCTTAGCATGTGCCAGGGAATCTTGGTTCTTTCATTTCCTGAAACCATGCTCCTTGACATAAACCTGGTGGCTTTCATCGATGGGCCTCGAAGCAATGCCCCTCCAGAGGGGCATCTCAGCTGGGGCTTCTCAAACCCTCCCTGTAGAGCTGGGTGGTCTGATTTTTAGGCAGAAAAGAGACCTCATCTGAAGGGTGGGTCAGAGAAGGGGGTTGGGACTGGGAAGCATTTCTTTTTTTCTTTTTTTTTTTTTTAAGAGACAGAGTCTTACTTTATCACCCTCGGTAGAGCACTGTGGTGTCGCAGGTCACAGCAACCTCCAACTCCTGGGTTTAGGCAATTCTCTTGCCTCAGCCTCCCAAGTAGCTGGGACTGCAAGCACCCACCACAATGCCTGGCTATTTTTGTTGTTGTTGTTGCAGTTTGGCTGGGGCCAGGTTTGAACCCGCCACCCTCAGTATATGGGGCTGGCACCCTACCCACTGAGCCACAGGTGCCGTCCACAGGACTGGGAAGCATTTCCTACCCTCTTCACTCATGGCTCTGACCTTGACAATAGGTGTGGGGACCTCATGCTGAGCTGAGACTGGCCACTCTCTGCTCCTGGGCTCTGCATCTATGTTTCTTGCTCGTGGCTTATTGCACTGTGCCCACCAAGGGCAGTTCATGACAGAGGGACATAGGGGAGCAAGTAAGGGAAGGGGCCATAAAAGAGAGGATTGGGCAGGAATCAGTTCTCCGTGCTCCTATCTGGGCTCGTCTGGCCCCTTTAGGTCCCAATGACGAACATCACATTTTTGTTGTTATTGTTGTTATTGTTGCAGTTTTGGGGCGGGGCCAGGTTTGAACCCACCCTCTCTAGTATAGGGGACTGACACCCTACTCCTTGAGCCACAGGCGCCGCCCCAAACATCACATTTTAAATGAAATGTTGAAGAAAGAGATGAGGAGCCAAGAGCCCAAGCTCCTGTCAACAGAGCAATCGGCACCACTAACACCAACTGGCTTTCTGACACAACAGAGGAGCAATAATCAATGCATAAATTAGAGCCTACCGTTGTCATAAACACCAGAGTGTCAGGATTTAGTGAGAGGAGAGCAGGCTAAGATATGACAAGAGTTGTAATTGGGAGGCAGGAAGCAATGCTATTTTTCACAGTAAAATAAAAAAGGGGGCGGGGGAAGGAGAGAGATTAAGAGAGAAAATGAAATGCACAGTCATTGCCAGGCTGAATTACGCATGACTCTTTCAAATTCAAAAAGGCCAAGAACTTACGTGATATCAGCATTAGGGTGCAGTCCAAAGACTTCGGGGTTATCCAGGGATGGCAAAGACTGGATGTATTCAAAATACTGGTCCAAAGTTTTACACACAGGGATTTTATATCCAGTATAAAAGCAGAATGTTGGTTCAAACATCTTCTCGCTGAACCAGACCTGTATGGGTGAGAAAATAAGAGAAGTAAAATTAATGAGCATCTAAGTGAGAATGACCTCTACACGCCCCGCACGGTGGCTTACGCCTATAATCCCAGCACTTTGGGAGGCTGCAGTGGGAGGATAGCTTAAGCCCAGGAGTTCACGACCAGCTGGGGGAACATATCAAGACTCCATCTTCACAAAAATAAAAAAAAAAAAAAATAGCCAGGCATAGTAACTTGCACCTGTAGTCCCAGCCATACAAGAGGCTGAGGCAAGAGCTTGAGCTCAGGAGTTTGTGGTTACAACGACCCATGATCACAACACTGAGTTCCAGCCTGGTATCAGAGCAAGGCTCTATCTGGAATAAATAAATAAATAAATAAAAGAAAAAAAGAGAACCACCACTATAATAGAAGAGGGGTCATCTTCTTCCTATTTTGAGAGAGTTTTTATGTTGATTTTGAGAGCACCACTGATAGAATAATCATATCTATGAAGAAAAGAGAGAAACCAGAACAAAAAAAAAAAAAAAATGAGGCCTGGCCTCTAACACCAAAGAAGGTATTTGCTACGAGTGAAGAGGGGTGAGCATCTTTGCAAGCCCATCCTGCACTGGAATAATTTAGCGATCCTCCGTTCCACCGCAGAAGAGGAGTGGGAAGATCCTGTTAAATTGATGCAGACGTACCTACCCCTAAGGGCACACCTGGACATTTCCATTGCCTCACTCTTCCCCACACAGTGACACCAGGGAGCTGTGCTTGGGCAGTTTTGCTCACACACCACTGAGCACCAGCACAAGGCCAGGGAGACTTCTCACAAACGCATCCCCTCCCACCCCAAGCTGGAGAGCTTCCTTTGCTAATTAAGTTATGTCCCTGTCCACAAGAAGCAAACATATCCAACAGCCTTGCTATTTGCCTTTAGACATCCTTTTCTCATTCCATATGAATTGATTATCTGTAACAAAACAGAGAGAGAACAAATATATGCTTGGTGTGAATAGACTTATTCTGAAGAGGCAAAAACGGATGCTGAATGCCTATGAGCCAGCTTTGAGGCAATGCCTTGGGTCTAATGGAGCCATTTTCCTAGTCGGGAGGGAAATGATGAGAGGGCAGGAGGAGCAGAAATACAGGCACAATGTCTGTCTGGATCACTCAGAGGACTCGCTGTGAAAGAGCAGGGATTGTGCCAGACACTGGCTGGCACACTTTCTCTACTATCTTCCCCTGTATCTTTTTTCCAGCCCTTTTTAGGTCCAGCGATTGCTCTGAGATACCCTATGTCCCAGTTCTCTCTCAGTGTTAGCCTATTCATCTCCTGTGCATCAGGCACTGAGCTTTGAAACAGAACAGAATGCAAAGATGAGAAACACACAGTCCTTTCCTTCAAGGAGCTTGTGACCCAATAGAGGGATAAGCCAATTACCTAATGACCATAATACAAAGTGCACTAAGGTAAGAGCCAGAGGAAATAAAAGTAAGCAAAGTACTAAGAAGGCTTAAAGCAGGAAGAAAGAATCGCCAGGTAGATGGCAGAGGAGGCTTTATAAAGGAGATAAAGTCTTGAAGGGGAGAGTTTTGACAGGAGAACTTGGGACCGGGGAGGCCATGTGAGCAATGACGAGAATAACTGATGCAAAAATGGGAGGCAGTTGGAGGAATAATGAAGTCTAGGGTAAGACAATGTGGTTAGAAGAGACAGGGCAGGAAAGGTAAGGTGAGGTGAGGTCATATACAGGTGGCTTGTTGATGTCAGATGAGGAGTGATGCTTCATTTAAGAAGTGGGGAACAGGGTAGCGCCTGTGGCTCAAAAGGGTAGGGTGCTGGCTCCATATGCTGGAGGTCTCAGGTTCAAACCTAGCCCCAGCCAAAAAAAAAAAGAAGAAGAAGAAGAAGTGGGGAACAGTTGAAAGTTATTAAAGAGAGCAGTGCTGCAAGCATGGTCAGTATTTAGAAAGATTAGAATTTTAGTAACATGGATGCCTTAAATTGTACAAAAATGCCCTAGGGAGACCATGGGTCTTCAGAATGCAGGTAACAAACGACCCCATTGAATTCTATGTTGCCAGATGACATGTATTTGTAAAAGCTACATGTATGATAGAAGACTGAACCAGAATCCACACCTTCCGCTACTCACAAAAATTAACTCCATATGGATTAAGGATCACTTGAGCCTAGGAGTTTGAAGGTGCTGTAAGCTGGGCTGATGCCATGGCATTCTAGCATGACTTAAATCTAAGGCAGGAAACTGTAAGAATTCTAGAAGGGAATGGTGGAAAAACTCTTATAAATATTGGCCTAGGGGAGAATTTATGACAAGGATCCCAAAAGCAATCACAGCAACAACAAGAATAAACAAATTGGGACCTGATCAAATTAAGGGGTTTCTGCACAGCCAAGGACACAATCAATAGAGTAAACAGACAGCCTACAGAGTGGGAGACAATATTTGTATGCTGTACATCTGATAAAGGGATGAGAACCAGAATCTACGGGAGACTCAAGCAAATCAGCAAGGAGAAATCAAATAACCCTATTGGAAGGTAGGCAGAAGACTTAAACAGAGATTTTTCAAATGAAGATGGTCTAATGGCCAAAAGTCACATGAAAAATGCTCAACATCTCTAATCACCAGGGAAATGCAAATCAAAACCACAATGAGATATCACCTAACTCCAGTGAGGATGGCTTTCATCAAAAAGTCCCCAAACAACAAGTGCTGGTGTGGATAAGGAGAGAAAGGAACACTGGTACACACTTATACACTGTCAGTGGGACTGCAAACTAGTACATCCTTTATGGAAAATAGTATAGAGATACCTCAAAGAACTAAAAGTACAGCTATCTTTTGGTCCAGCTATCCACTCCTAGATATTTACCCGAAGGTGAAAAAGATATTTTATAACAAAGACACTGGTACTTGAATGTTTATAGCAACACAATTCATAATTTCAAATGGTCAAGTACAACAATGGAACCCAAATGCCCCTCAGTACATGAGTAGATTAATAAAATATGGTACAGGTATATCATGGAGTACTACTCAGCCATAAAAAATGGTGATCTAGATATTTTGTAACAACCTGATGCAACTGAAGAACATTCTTCTAAGTGAAATATCTCAAGAATGTAAAAAACACCACATGTACTCAACACTAAATTACAACTACTAGATCAACACTGCTATGCACACATGGAAATAAAACTCAACAGAAATCAGGCCGGCTGCCTGTTATCTTAGCACTCTGGGAGGCTGAGGCAGGAGGATCACTTGAGCTCAGGAGTTTGAGACCACCCTGACTCTACTAAAAATAGAAAAATTAACTGGGCATTGTGGCAGGTGCCTATAGCCTCAGCTCTTTGGGAGGCTGAGGCAGGAGGATTGCCTGAGCCTAGGAGTTTGAGGTTGCTGTAAGCTAGGCTGATGCCATGGCATTCTAGCATGGGCAACAGAGTGAGTCTCTCTCTCTCTCAAAAAAAAAAAAAAACAAAAAACAAAAACAGATATTAAGTAGATGGGTTCACACCTAATGGGTACAATGCACACATTCTGGTTGCAGGGCACACTTATAACTTTGACCTGAAATGTATAAAAGCAAATTATGTAACCAAAACATGTGTACCCCTGTAATCTTCTCCATTTCAGGAGAGGTCTGTATCAGTGTGACTTGCCAGCAGCAGGGCTCCCTCCCACCTCTACACATCCTCACCAACACTTATTATTTCCCACCTTTCTCCACATACGGCTTTAAGAAAAACTTGCAAAAATATGCAAGGGCTAAAGAAAATCAGTTTGTTGGTTAACCCCAACCCTACCAAAATACCCCCAAAGCTTATGCTTTGTTGTCAAGGCTTTAAATGTGTTAAGGGGAAAAAATCAGTAAAGCAGAGGATGACCAATATAGGTCTTAATTAATATAAAGATTTCAATAGCCATAAAACACTTACATCTAATATTTTTTCTACCTAGGAGATGCATATTGCTTCTCTAATATGTAAAAAAAAATTCTAAGAAGAGTGTGAGTCTGTTAGGTATTATTTATAGTATTTACCCTTGATGTGAAAACCTTAATTGCTAAGAAATAATTTTCTCTAGAAAATGTTTATTAGTAAGGGGTAGATTTTATTTGACATGGAGAAAAGGTGAACACTTCATCAATTTTCAACTGTCCAGTCCAATGGAAGAGATGAGAAACTCCAATTATGATTAATTCCTCGATCATTTATTTTGGGACTTGAAATCACCATGAGATTTACATTCAGAGAATGTAAATTCAGAGAAGGAGGCAAAGAAATGATGTCCAGTGTTCTCCTCAAAAGTGGGGTGCAGGGGCATATGGAACATGGAGGGGAGGTGGTAGGGAGAGACCCCAGCATGATCAGTTCATCTGTACAGGGGGAAAGCCATAGATGATTGAGAACTGACCACCCATCTGCTCTGGACACTAGTAAATTGCTAGTTGCTGCTGTGTGTGCTTGTGTATTTCTTGCTAATGCTTTGTAGTTCTGCTTTGTACTTTCCCTCAAGTTTGGCATACCTATCACAAACAAAAAAAATACTGGAAAACTCAATGAAATGTGTCTCCATGTTTAATTTTTTCTAGATTGACTTACCCTAGCAAAGCAATTGAGTAGACGTTTATCAAAGTCGTCTGTCACTCTGCCTCCATATTGCACTTCTCCAATCATGTACCGAACCGTACTCCACGATACGCCCTTTATTAAAAGTAAAAAAGTATAATTCATTGATAATCCAAACAAACAAGTACAAACGTTCCAGGTCTTTCCCTAGAGGAAAGGTCTGGAAAGGAAAACACTTGTTAGGCCGAATTTAAAATTATTCATTATCTCGTATTAATAACTTTTGCTATTACACGGCTGAAACTGCTGTAGTTTGTTCACCACAGAAAAATCTACAGTACTAAATACTGGGAGATATACTGCCTATAGATTATTAAAAATGGGGGAAAAAGACTATTTTTCACTCTGTGGATATAATTACCTACAATGCTCATTATAGTAATGCCAAGGTGTTACAGAGGGGAAAAGTAGTGCTTAGTGAAGAAAGGAGAAAAATCAAGTAGCCAACACTTTAATATGCCTCTTAGTAACATATTTTCTGGAATGAGTATGAGAACAACTGAAAATTATTTATCTGTAGACATTGCAATCCTCTGCCATCCCTCTCTGTGCTAAAACCACAGCAAAGTATTAATTTCTACAGTATTCTTATACTAGCAATATTTTATAGCTATTAATAGTTTTAATTTAAAAAAAACTCTCACTACATTTGGGGTAGGAGAAGTGAGGGTGCTTGACTTTTTTGTTGTTGTTAAAATTTTATTTTTCAGCTTGATTGCTTTTCAAATCTCCTAATTCAAGGTAACTATTATTTGTATTTACCAAGATGACAAGAACCCACGCAATGTAATTTTTTGTTAAACTGCCATGCCCTTAATTTTTTTTAAAGAGATGGGAGTCTAACTCTGTCGCCCAGGCTGGAGTACAGTGGCACGATCTTAGCTCACTGCAGTCTTGACCTTCTGGGCTCAAGATATTCTCCTGCCTCAGCCTGCTGAGTACCTGGGATCACAGGCATGAGACACAGCGCCCATTCATATTCTTAATTTAATAACCCTCTGTCCTTTGAAGGAAAACTGACAGTTTAGTTCTAGAGTAAACATTCATCACAGCTGCCCATCATCCTGGGGAGGAAGAGAGGGATAGACAGTAGAAGGTGGTATTTATTGAGCCCCTCTAATGTACCGTATGCTGCACTTTCACAAATACTAACTTGCTCATTCCTCACATAAACCATGGCCATTTTCTAGATGAGGAAACAGGCTCTGAGGCACATTAACTTCCCCAAGACTGTAGGAAAACCAAACCTCCAGCCCTTTATAAAAGTGAGAGGACAATCTGAAAAGGCTCTTAGTCTCTCCTGCCTGTTAGCTCATCAATAAAATGGGGACAATAGTAATGCCTTCTTTATCCACCATACAGAGTCCTGACGATAATAATGAGGCCCAGCCTACAGGAACACTTTGAAAATGATGATTAGAGATTATTGCTATTTATGTGCATAAGCCTAACAGTTAGTTAAGAAGGGACTTAGGGGAAAATAGAACTTTCACATGGGCTGGCAGAGATCTTGCCACTTCTGAGGAGGCAGGCGTAAGATGAGAGAGGAAGAGCTTGCCTGGAGACATACCTGCTCCTTGAAGTGCACTTGAGGGTGCATGAGGAAGGCTGTGCTATTTTGTAACACACTGAGTTCCACCCTGACAGTCAGCTTCTATTGTATGTTGAGTGTCGGTGGGAGTGGGAGGCCAGACCTGTAAATACTAGATTAAAGTGAAGGGGCTGACGGCACCTCAGCAAGTTCAATGTGTATCACCAACTAAAAATGACTAGTAGAACTCTGATTTAAGGAGAGCAATAAAAATGGGAAAAGGAAACAATTTCACTCACTTTTTTAATATCACATTCATCAAGGTGATTCTGAATAAACTGAACACTGGCTGAAAAGTCAGCAGAATTGAATTCATAGGGAATGTTCCATCCTAAGGGACCAAATTTTCGTCGCTCCTTAAAAACAGCAAAGAAAAGCAAGCAGTGAGTAGGTTTTTAGAATCACACGTAGCTGATTCTGTTTTTATTATGAACAAAATGAAAGTTATATACTCTATATGCTACATATATATAGAATAGTATATACAATTTTGGATATCACTTAATGATGGAGTTACATTCTAAAAATGTGTCATTAATTGATTTTGTTGTCGTGCAAACATCATAGAGTGTACTTACACAAACCTAGATAAGACAGCCTACTGCACACCTAGGTTATATGAAGGCTTATCCTAGCCTACAAACCTTTATGGTATGCCACTGTACTGAATATTGCAGGAAATTCTGAGTATCTGTGTATCTAAACATGGAAAAGTACAGTACAAATAAGGGTTGGGACGTCCACCTTCTACACAGTCCGTCACTGTCAGAACACTGTTACGCAGCACAGAAGTGTGTTAACCATTAGAAAGTGTACTTCACGGCTCTACAACCAAATGGTTTATAAAAATGAACCTTCAAATATTTACCAAGTTTGAGTTCTTTGGTTTAAAAGAAAAAGTCTAGGTGTCTACTGACAATTCAGAAAATACAGTGAGGGCTCAATAAAAGTCTGCTGAATTGCTAATCTAAATGAGACTCTTGAAAGTTGGGGACGTCAGTTGTAAGGGTCTGGATTTCTCAAGTGGATAACTTGACCACACAAGAGCATTTAGACTCCCTGCTAGCTTCACTTTGTGCCATTTCAGATTCTGAAAATCAAGAATTTCTGCTGTACACATGGACATATCTGTCTTAAAACTGTCACACAACTCTCATTTGCTTCTGTTTAATTGAATAGGGTCTACCAGACTCCCATGAAATAGTGAGTGTTTATCAGTGCCATATTACCAGTAAATAATCAAACTGGACTCAGAGCAAATAGTTCAATGGCTTTGCTATTCTGCAGATTGTGTTAAAGGTATGTAAGTGTTAGAACTCGTATCTCCAGGCACTGACTACCCAGAAAACCACAGAGAAGAGGCTGATGTTGTCATGCCAGCAGCTTTCCTGATCTTCACACATGACCAGCCTCTAAGGAAGGAGGGTCCAGGCATTTATTAGGACTAGCTCCTCAGCCCCTTGGCACCTGAGGTGAGGACCATATGGAGAGTAGAATTCCTACACAGGTGTCACAATGTTTAATTCTGCTTCTCTAACTCTAAATATATACCACCATTTCTTTCTCTTTTCTGTCCTCCCCAATCCAACACACACACACACACACACACACACACACACGCACACACGCATCCATGTATGCAGGCACTGCTGTTTTCACAAGCCATTTCAGTCCTTCTTACCAAAGCTGTTCCAGGTTTCGGATCTGGAATAATCCTACCATGTAAAGTAATCTAAATAAATTTTGACTTGGACAAGTTCATGGACAAGTCAGAGAAGAAATTCAGAAAGTGCAAAGCTTTTAATTACTCATTTTCAGGCCATGCTTTTAAAGTATTAAATAAACCATTAACATTAATTTGGGTCCAGAGGAGATCAGACTCTGGGTCTCTAGGAGATCAGACCAAGGGCAAAAAAAAAAAAAAAAAAGAACTCTTAAAAACGTAAAGTATTACCATTATTTCTAGACCTGAGCTTTTTTTAGGGTAGGTTGTCTGGCATTAGAGATTTTCACATGACTCATGTCACGTCCCTTAGATAAGGTGATAAAGGGTGGACCATCAGCCCAGAAAGAGCTGGCCAGATCCCTTCTCCCAGGAATTTGGACTGAGGGTTCAGAATTGCTATCTGGAGTTTATAGGCACACTAGGAAAATCTGGAAACTCAGGAGCTGTGAAGTGCCATCTCCCACCAAACAGGGGGCACAACCTTGATGAAGGAGCGACCAAGTGGTCCCAGGTGCAGGAATGGTTCTTACAAGTCATTTGCGTCTCCAGATGCTTTCTGCCTCCTGGACCCAGCATCCTTGTTGCCTTGTTCGTCTTTTTAGTTGTTTCATGTTGAAATATTTGATCCTATAACTAGATTTTGAGGCTTGACAGTAAAAAACATGTCTTCTAACTTTGTCTCCCCTTGTGCACTGGCACCTTGAGAAAAGAGTCACTGTTGCCTGACAAACATGGGTCAGTTATTTCCCTCTGGAACAACAACGTCAGGAGGAGAGGAAACGTCCCCTCACCCTCTAGGAAGTCCGTTTCAAGGCTGATCCAGCATTCTGAATTTCTGGAGCGGAGCTCAGAAACATCAAGGTGAGCCTCTTCCAGGTTATTCCAGGAGCAAAAGCAGGTTAAGAGAGTCCCTGGGATATTAACGTGAAAATACACATAGCTAACACTTTAGTCCCTGGAATTTCTTCCATCTTGAGGACTTTGAAGAATACTAATACTTATTAGTGAAATATGAATGTTTTTCCATTTGGCGGAAAGAGAATCAAAATCTACACTATTAGTTTTACCTAATTATTAAAACTTAATGTTCAATTAGACAGAAGATTGAATGAAAAATTCTTTTCCATTACTGAAGCTGCTTAAAAATTGGCTCTATGGGAACACTCCCATTTATTTGCACTGAGCAACTGCAATTTAGTTGCTCTTTAAAATGTGAGCTCTGAAAATTGCCCCAACGCTTGAGATTTGCTTCACATTTTTCTTACTACCAATTTTCATTTAAAGCATTTACTTTTTAAGTTGGTTCACTAACATCATAAACTGATCAGCTCATCTTGAAAAAGATGAAATCTTGGAGGGTATCTTTTCTTTTACCAAAGAAGTGATTTCACCTTCCTGCTATTTTTTATTGCCTTGGAATACTATCAAGATAGACTGAAATCACTGGAACCTACGGATTCATTTAGAAGCTCAAAAGCAAAAGGTCTTGCTAGACTTACTCAGAATATTGAATTGTTTCAGTCCAATTAGTATTTCTGAAACCAGGGGATGAGTCCTATGTAGTACAGTAGGAAAATGCTGAAAGAGATGTACTTTTAAGAAGTTGGGAAAATAAGACTTCACCCCAAGGAGAGGACAATGTGAGGGTGAATATAATTTAACTGTCGAAATGTAACAGGCAATAAACCTAAAGATGTTTCATTAGCGCTCTCTAGGAAGAATGACACTGAAGCTGGCCTTTAAAAAGAGGAGAGAAAAGTCTTCCAGGCTTGGCAAAGGCCATGAGCCAGAGAGGAATACAAAGCTTGTGATTCATGGAGCAGGAAGCTGCAGGTGGAAGGGTCCGTGGCAGGAGACGGCCAGCTCTGGTGGGCAGCACCAGGTGCTCGGGCATGGAACACAGACACATTTGAATGTTAAAACTTCACTCAACAGAAGGGAATTATATATTGTGAAGCTGGACAGTGATGATGTTAGGAAAAGCAGTCTACTCCTTACGTAATTTGACCGATACGAATAGCTTTCTTTTTATTTCAAAGAATGTATAAATCCCAGAACTGCTAGTGAAATATAGAAAACTTGGAAATATGAAAAACTCCTTAGAACACTAATGAAAAGTTGATCAATGGAGTCATCATTTTAATGATGTCAAAGCTATGTCCAATTTTGTGCTTCATGAACTACCTCGGCAATTCCCATAGCCCACGCAGAATCTCTTCACTTGCAAATCTTCAAAGCAAGACAACTGGCGGTAACTAACTCCAATAACTGCAGGTAATATGAAATGAAAAACAAATTCCACTCTAGACCATATAAAGGGAAATTTAATGGGTAAAAACAATAAGCAAAAATAGAACCACCAGGAAACACTAGGGCAGAGTGTGAAAGATAAACCTGTATTATATTATCATAATTATTGGAAGACATTTAAACTGAGAATTTTTTAAATCCTGCCTCTCCAAACACAGTAAGTACTTTACATACACTATTAAATTTGAAAGGAATGTTTGTTAAGACTCAAAGTTGAGGAAGAAAACAAAATACAGGAAAGTAAAGACTTTTCTTAATGAAGAAGTACCGACGGTGGGATTCCCTGGGCCCTATAGATACAGCCATTTTTACTGAATAGTTAAATTATTTTTAAGGGCTTTGATCAAATTTCCAAGTCTGCACCTGCCGTAGCAGGCCCTCGAGATCCTGATCAATAACTAGCAAACAAACAAAACCTCAGAGTGATGTAAAAGCTGTTAGCTGTCAGAAAAGTCAGAAATGTGAGGTTCAATGTGACAACTAAGGGATGGGGAGAAAAATCCCAAAGCAGGAAATGAAGGTCAAATGGCTGAAGACTCCTCCCCCCTCAAGGTGGCTGTTAGGCCATCATTCTCAATTCTCACTGCATATCAGAATCACTTGAAAGTTAAAAAAAACCTCCTTCCTCTGCTCCTCCCAGGGGTTCTGACTGAAGAGGCCTGGTCTGTTGCCCAAACAGTGGCTGACAATCATTGATTAAGACATTTGCTTAGTCTAACACATCACTCAAAGAGCACTGCATTGACCACCAAACAGGCAAAAACTCAGACAATGCTGTTCTGACCTTCTGTAGGAGGTGCAGGAAGGGATACCTGTGTTAATGTGGAGGACTCAATGATTCAATTAACAAGTTAGGTTTGGGGTTCTTATGTTCAATACTACAGAGATGAAAGAAACCTAAGCCACTCTCTAATTCACAGTGTTCCTTCCTATAATAGCCACATCTCAGACTTTTATTTGCACACAAATCACTCGGGCATCTCATTACAATGAGGATCTGACTCAGCTTGCCTGGGGTGGGACCTGGGGTTCATTTCTCACCAACTCGCCAGTAATGCCAATGCTGCTGGCCCAGGAAAGCAGTCCCTGAAGAATTCCGGACTTTTCTATCAGGCTGGCTTTATCCTAACCAAGCTCAAAAATGAAAAAAGGATTTAGGCACTAGCACAGTAAACAACTCTGTGCTATTGCTGAAATTTCCATGAGATTTCTGAAATATCACAGTAAACATTTCTGAAATTAGTGAAAAACGAAGAAAGGAAACTATGCTTAAATTACCTACACTTGCTGCATTGTATTGTCAGAGAGCAGGATGACAGGATCGTGGAAATGAGAACAATCTTGAAAGATCACCCACTTCAGCCTCTCACTGCACAGAGGCCCTGAGAGAGGCATAACCTGATCAAGCTCACCCAGATAACTGACTTCACAGTGTGTACTAAGTCCGGACTCTCACTGAAATGCTATTTCTGGCACACTACTATTTGATTTTAAGAGATAGCCAACTTTTTTTTTTCATGGACAGCTATTATTAGCTTCATGGCCCTAGCAGAGGAAATATTTTTTCTCTGTTTTAACCCAAATACATCGTGTTATGCACAAGCACACTTTAGCCTCATAATTGGACCACAGTGCTGTTCTTCTTCTCCTGTTCAGCACTTAGATAATGGCCACTAAAAACACAGGGCACTGCATTAACCATATGGAAAATACCCCAATCATCTCCATGATAAGCACAGTGGAAGAGTTGAATCATCACTACTAGGAACTGAATCATAAAAACCATTATTCATGAATTGGGAATTAAATAACAGAGTTAAAACAATATTTGTATTAGAGCACAATAAGGGCTAGCAAAACCAACACTTCCTAGATAAGAATGTATGAAATAGGCTTCCGTGACTTGAAAGCTGTAATTTACAATCCAAAGGCCACAATGGAACTTAGTAAAAAGAACCACCCACGAAGTATTTAATTTGATTTGAAGTCTCTCTGGGTTGGGAGGCAGACAAATCCCGCAGCCTCCCTGTTGGTCAGCGTGGAATCTGGCAAAGTGGGAAGGATGAAGAGCCAGGAGTGAATACACCCAGTGTCTTCTGGGAAAAGCGCCCAGCTGCCCTGTCCTTGGGCAGGGCGCAGAGAGTGAGGCGAAGCTGTGCACACCATTGTGAACAGCTCAAAGCACAACTCTGGGGACCTGCTACTGACTCATTTTGTCCTTTACCCTGGCTCTAGGGAGGGGAGAAATGCAGGAAGGGGTTAAAGGAGCACCTTCAAATTCTCTGTGAGATCAAGAGTGGATCAAGTACATTGAAATCACACAGCTTGCAAATGCAAAACAAAACAATAACACAAATTTTTATGCTTCGCAACCATAAAGGTATTAAATTACTACAGAAGTGCTTAGACCATAAAAGCAAATGGCAACCAGCCTTAGAAAGACAGCTAGTTAGTCGCCGGCACTTCTCCTCCTCCAAAGCCACCGCCAATTTTACTACCGTACAATAAAAAGGGTCAAAAACCTATATAAATCAGAGCCAGGCAGCTGCAGAGCTACCACACGGAAAGTGTACTTAACCTTTTTGAGTCTCAATTTCCTCATCTTTGAGATGATGATAATCCTACCTTGAAATGTGGTTGTTAGTATTACATAAGATGGTGCACATAAAACTCCTGGCCAGCACAGGCACTTTCCAAAACATGTACGTAATCCGTTTGCTCATCCTGCAAATATTTATCGAGCTCTGGCATTGTCCTGGCTGCTGCTGTGGCAGTGGGAGGCCCAGGCAGTTACAGACAGACAAGCTTGGCCCTGGAGAAGTTGACATTCCAGTGGCCAGGGCAGGGGCAGGAGTGGGGGCATGAAATACGCAAACTAGTGTACATGTGCCCGGCAGGGAGGGCGCTATGAGGGAAGAGGAAGCAGGGCCTCCCCCCAAACCCTCTGCAGTGAGGCCACGTCACAGCATCACCCATCCCCCTAGACGTGCAAACCGCTTTCCGACGTTACCTGCACAGTGGAGTGTAAAAAGGCTACTGTGTAAAGCATCGGCTTCCACATGGGCAAATTACTGATGTCCAGGAGGTCTTGATTAATTCCAGCAAATGTTCTTTTCAAACCTGCGCGTACACCTTGGGGTGGCTCATTAGTGAACTTGAGGGAAGTCTGTCACAAAAGGAAACAATGAAAAGAGAACTAAATAAATAAAGCAAACAGTTGTTTTATTTCTATTAATGACTCTAAAAGAACACAGCAGAAATTACATTACACTAAGGTGGAACGCCCCTTACCTGAAATGCTGGGGACCAGATGTGCTTCAGATTTCAGATTTTTTTCAGATTTTGGAATATTAACATTACACTTACTGGATAAACATCCCAAATTAAAAAATCTGAAATTCAGATTTTGATTTTCGAATTTAGGATGCTCAACCAGTACATCGGGCAACAATATGCTTATAATACACAAAATGAGGGCTAAATTTCAGCCCTGTGTAAACTGATTACGTTGACCAGAGCTGAAACCCAATAAACTAGTACTGAGTCTTAGAACTCTTTTATGGAAATATCTACTATTGTCCAATCTTGATGTTTATAGTCAAGATTTTGAGGATCACGGTACAAGGTTTTGCAGTGTGGACGCTATTGCACCAAAAAGTCCTCATTGTGTTCCCGTCTCTCGATAATTGCAAATGTACCATCTTTATTCATGTAACTCTTAATGAAAAGACACTTATCTTGCCGTAACAAACCTGGAGCAATGTAATTGGAAATCGGTCATGAGGCTCCGTAGTTATCCACACCCGGAAAGAATCGTCATTGGCTTCAATGGTACTTAGCGTCTCCAGTAACTCTTCCATGAATTCCAGGCCAAGATGACAATTTTGTAGCAATACCCAACCACCCTGTATCCAAAAATGAGTTCATATTTATTTCCTGTAACTTTTTTACTATGATTCTAACAGAATGAAACACAAATGAAAAAAAAAAAAAAACCTTTGCTTAGAACATGTGAATACTCTGTTCTGATTACCTGGAATCAAATGGGCTCAGACTGATTGTATTCTGCCACCCCTGGTTCAGAAAGGAACAGAAATCAAAGCTGGAAGGCAGAGTCGTGTAAGTACAGTGTGTGCACCATCTAATGGTCAGAATGGGTATTTTGGAATCAATAACTTAAGTTGTCCGGCTTATGACTGGCTGCTAGTCATTCAGTTACAAAGAAAGATGCACACTGTCTCGTGAAAGTTGGAGACGATACATTCGGTGACATTTGCTACCATAAAGCTAAACCCTCTTCTTTATCACCACTCTTCCCACACACTCCTGAACCCACGTAACTTATTAAGTATTATCTAAATAAATGCTTGTTAAAACTACCTTTAACAATATAAGTCACATAGCCATCACTGCCCTACAAGAACATAGTTTCTTAACCAGAGAACACTTTAATGTTTTATTCTCTTACAGAGAACCCAGCGAAATGAACTACAAAATAGTGAGCTAAATAGATATATAATAAGACATATACATCATGCCTTCAACTTGGAGAGAAAACAGGACCCAGATTCGCTTATATAGCAAGGGGAATGTGTTGGTTTACATAACTGGGGTGTTCAGAGGACGATGAAATGCAGGACTAGTTTGTATCACCATAGACCCAGTGACTCCCTGGTTCCCTGTTCTGCACTTCCAAATGTCAGCTTGATCCTAAATCTGGTGTGTCTCAAGGTGGCAGCATGGCTACACCTGTCCATGTGGTTTTATTCCCCACAATAATGCCAGTATTGTCAATAATTACCCCACCTGGACAGAACATGGGAGATATAAAAACTAGTATCCCAAAGAAGGTTAATGGGAATGCAGTGTTCAAATTTAAAAATTTCTCACTCATTGAAATTATTTAAGGCCTAACGTTAAACTGTCAAATCACTCAGTAGAGTGAAACACTTGATCTGTGTAAAAAATAATTATATATAATTGCTTCAATATATATAAATTAAATATATTATTGAATTTAATTAAGTGATAAAGATTAGGGCTTAGGGCATTTGGAAATTAATGGCTAGCTTAAAAATTTGATGACCCAAGCAGAGTTTTAGCCTATTAACCCTCTTTGGTCATTAATTCCCAGGGAAAAGCTGCACCAAAGTTTATACAGACATTATGAGATTCAAAAGCTTAAACATAAACCAAGATCTTATTTTATTTTTATAAATGGTGCAATTTCTGACTATAGCTGAAATGGCTATCAATAGAGCATTGCTAGAAAATTAACGTCCCGTGTATTTATTAGGTGTGATGGGAAATATTTCTCAACATTCCATTCAGCCTGCAATTTTCAACAAAAAACATTATCAATATTTAAACATATTTCTTATTTGCCTAAAACTATCCATTAAAGAAAAATGAAAGCCTGCCTTTAAGCAAAAATTGAAATTTAACTGTCTCAATCTGTCACTTCCTAAGTAGTATCTATTAATATTGATCATGAAATTCCAAGACTGCTAGGCTGCATTCTCTGGAGCTAGAAGGTGTCTCTTCCAAACTGTAAAACAAACAAACAAACAAACAAACAAACTAGTGAAAATAAAATAGTGCATATACTACAGAAAATGGAACAAGCTTTTCATAGGAATGTCAGGAGGAAACTCGATGGAGGTTTAAAATTCACAGGTAATCAAAGATTTATGGTACCGTATATACATAAACAAAACCGTGAAATGAGGATTGAGCATCCCGGGACGAATGCATCATCCATCACCACATCTGAGCAGTGATGCTGCAGTGGGAGCCACTGTCCTTGTCACATACCTGTTGCATTGACATCTGAATCAGCTTCCTGGCATGTACTTCTTGTCCTTGCCCCATGGAGATAGTTCTACATTCTGTAACATAGAAGGTTCTCAATGATAAAACAAAAAAATTTTTTAGCAGGATTAAGATGAAAAGTTAATTTCTGAATGTCTACCGCCTCCCTCTCTCTATCATGTCTAAGAAGGAATATTTTTGTTCAGACAGGCCTGGCCTTTGGTTGTATTGATCAGAGAAATGCATGAAGCAGAGACAGGGGTAGGGGGTGGGAGGTGGAGACACCACCTGGAAAGGTGGGAGGCAGAATCTGGGGTGCTTTGGAGATAAGGAGCACGACTGACGTGGGAGAGGCAGCTATGATTCTGTCCTAGGTATTTACAGGGATTGAGGATTTGTGAATTTTGTTATATGTTTTGATTAGAATCCTTTGGTGTTTTAGCAGATGCCTTGGTAAAGATTTAATTTTGTGATTTCTTCTCCATATCAGGCTCACAGTGTTTTCTACCTATTGGTCTATTTTGGTTTTATTTGCCTGTTTGACCATTTTTCTGAGCTGAAACTCAAAGCAGCTCAGCCACATTCAGGGGCAGCATAAGACCCAGTTTTCAGCTGCTTCTCGGATTAAATCACCACCTTGGAAGTAAACGTAGAGACCTCTCCAGGATAAGTGTCACAATTCCTGGAAGAATACACCATTTAGGGCCATTTGTCCCAGGCAGAGAACCACACTTGTGCCCTACCATATGAATGCACTAAACTGAAGAAGTCTGAGAATCATGTTTGTGAAGCTGCAATTAGAAACTGACTTTGTTAACTGATTTTGTTAATAACTGTAAACCTTTGTGGTCTCAGATTTTCTTGAGTTTTTAGAGGCATGATCTCTGCATGGGGAAAGGAAGTCAGTGGAGACATTGTAAACCAGTGTATGATTTGGGGGACTGCTGGTGGAGACTCTGAGGGCCTGAAGACTTCATGGGGTGGAGAAGGAAGTATGTCAGGAACCTGAGAAGTTGTCAAGATATCACCATTTAAATGGCACCATGTGGTAAACAGCCAGATACTCTGAGAAGGTCTGCAGGGGGCACCATCAGGGATTATTCATGGACTCAAGGTCACAGTAAGAAACTTTGCAATGTGCAGTCCTGACAGAGATGGCAGAGCACTACTTAGAGAATCAGAAATTGCAAGAGGCCAACAGTTTGTAAGCAAAGCTCGATTTTCCCAACAAAGCTCCCATGAATCTCTCTAGCTCTTCAGGGGAATCAAACACCCAAGAAGAATCCTACTTGACCTATATAAAAGAAGAGAGGGGACGTGGGACTTGAATGGGAGGAGCCTCTGGATCCTACAGAGATACTGAGCCCCTTTTACTTTGGAAGAACACACAAATATTCTATAGGTCTATGGGAGAAGGTCTGATAGGCTCAGAAAGTATCAACCTGAGTGTGAGCCAATGCCTCTCTTCTTTCTCCTTCCAACTCCTCTCAAATACACATTCTAAAGGAAGGACTGGGTTTTGCTCAGGTGGTTACAAGGCTGAGTTTGTTATGTTGAGCCAGGTAATGGCTCAAGACATATCTGGAATCTGACCACTTCTCAACATCTCCACTTTTATGCTCCTGGCCTAAGTGACCCCATCTCTTGCCTGGATTATTGCAATAGCCTCCTAACAAGTGACAGTCCCACTCTCACTCTTGTCCTCTGTTAGCTCTTCTCCCCTCTCCCTCCAGTAGCCAGAGGCATCCTGTCAACTCTAAATCAAATCATATCCACCCTCCGCTCAGAGCCCCCCAATGGCTTCCCATTGCCTTTAAAGGGAAAATCCAAAAGACAATCCAAAGTTCTCACCTATGGCCTATAAGGCCCTACCCAACTGGCCCCCACCATAAGCACATACACATGCCTTTCCTTATCTCACCACTTTCCCTGCCCCACACATTCTCTTTTCTCCAGGCACACAGGTCCTCCCCAGGCCCAGCCCAGCCTCTTTGCTGTCCCCTCCACCTACAATGCATTTCCTTCCGAGCTCCACAGACCTGCTGCCTTCACAGCTCAGGTCTTTATCCACTTATCAAAACAGCACATCTGACCATCCTATCTGAAACAGCATGTCTTCCCCTCACTCTGCCCTTCACCCTGTTTCTTCTTAGCATATTATGTACTTTCCTGATTACTGATTACTGTCTATCTTATGCCCAGAATAGAAAGTCAGCTCCGCCAAAGAAGGGACTTTGAACATGGTAGTCTACCCAGGTCCAAACTAGACAGTGTGTAAAACTCAACAGATGCTCAAAAAATATTTTCTTAAACCTTTCAAATTGAGATATAATTCACATATCATAATATTTACTCTTTTAAGGTATATAATTCAATGTTTTAAAGTACATTCATAAAGTTATGTAACCATCGCTATTATCTAATTCCATTTCGTCAAGCCCCAAAGAAACCCCAACCCCCATTAGCAGTCACTCGGCATCGCCCCCTCCCGTCCCAGCAACCTCCAATCTACCTTATATTTCCATTCTAGACATTTCCTATCAATGGAATCATATGGTCTTTTGTGTTTTTCTTCTTTTAGTTAACATAACCTTTTCAACAAACCTTTTTACCTTTGCCTGTAACATTATCACTCATTCCTTTTTAAGGCCCAGTAATAGTTCATCTGTGTATGGATGCACCACATTTTGTTTATCGATTCAACCAACATTTGGGTTGTTTTCACTTTTTGACTAGTATGAACTATGTTGATACAAATACTCATGTACCCGTTTAGGGGTGAACATGTATTTTTAATTTTCTTGGGTACATACTTAGAAGTGGATTTCTTGGATAATATGGTAACTCTAACTTTTTGAGAAGCTGCCTGTTTCTCAAAGCGGCTGCATCATTTTACATTCCACCAGCAACATACAAATGTTCTCATTTTTCCACATCTTTGCCAGCACTTGGTATTGCCCCTCTTTTTGATTATAGCCATCTAGTAGGAGTACAGTAGTATCTCGTTCTGGCTTCGATTTGAATTTCCCTAACAACTAATGATGTTGAGTATCTTTTCATGTGCTTATGGCCATTTATATATCTTCTTTGGACAAATGTCTACTCAAATTCTTTGCCTATTTTTAAATTAGGTAATTTGACTCTATGATCACATTGTAAGAGTTCTTTATGCATTCTGGATAGGAGAGCCTTATTATAACATGACCTGCAAATGTTTACTCCCATGTTGTAGGTTATCCTTTGATGGTGTTCTCTGAAGCACAAATTTTGAATTTTGATAAAGTTCAATTTATCTATTTTTTCTTTTGTTAATTATGTTTATGCTTGTCTAGAAAACTACTGCCTAATTCAAGGTCACAGAGATTCACTTTCATGTTTTCTTCTAAGAGTGTTATGGTTTTAACGTTTACATCTGTGTCTCTGATTTGTTTTCAATTAATTTTTGGATATGGTGTGAGGTAAAGACCAAACTTCATTTTTGCAAGTGAAAATCAGGCTTTTCAGCACCATTTGTTGAAAAGTCTGTCCTTTCCCACACTGGACGACCTTGGAACCTTATGAAAAAACAACTGACCATGTCTGTGAGAGTTTACTTCTGGACTCTTGATTTTATTACACTGAAATATAAATCTTTATGCCAGTACCACACTGATTTCATTACTGTAACTTTGTAGGAAGTTTTGAAACCAGGAAGTATGAGTCCTACAGCTGTGGTCGTCCTTTTCAAGATTGTTTTGGTTAGTCTGAGTCCCATGTGTTTCCATACAAATTTTAGGATAAGCTTCTCCATTTCCACAAAGAAAAGGCCGTTGGGATTTTGATAGGGATTAAGTTAAGTCTGTTAAATCTGTTAATCAATCAGAAGAGTATTGCTATCATACCAAAGTAGTCTTATCCATAAGTGTGGATGTTTTCCCAGTAATTTAGGTTTTTATTTAACTATGTTTTTTAATTTTCAATGGAAAAATCTTACACTTTTGTTAAATTTATTCTTAAGTATTTTGTTTTAGATATTATAAGTGAATTGTAATGGTATTTATAATTTCATTTTTGAATCATTCTTGCTAGTATATAGAAATACAATGGCTTTTAAAATATTGATCTTATATCCTGTGATTGCATCAATTAGCTCTACTTGGGTTTTTTTGGTAGACTTCTTAGGGTTTTCTACATATAAAATCACATCAACTGGGAATAGAGATTGTTTTACTTCTTCCTTTGTAATGTAGATGTCTTTTATTTCCTTGTCTAGTCTAATTTCCCTGTCAAGAACTCCAGTACAATGTTAAATAGAAGTGGTGAGGGCAGACAGCCTTATCTTGCTCCTGATATTTGAGGGAAAACATTTAGTCTTTGACCATTAAGTATGATATTAGCTGTGGAGTTTTTGCAGCTAGCCCTTATCAAGTTGAAGAAATTTCCTTTTATTCCTAGTCTGTTAAGTGTACTTATCATGAAAGGGTGTGAGATGTTTTTCAATGCTCCTTTTGCATATGCAATAGACTCAATGTTTATCTTCCCCTAAAATTCGTATGTTGAAGCCTGACCCTCAAAGGGATAGTATTTGGAGGTGATTAGGTCATGAGGACATAACCCTCATGAATGGGATCAGTGTCCTTATGAAAGAGGACCAAGAGAGACCCTTGACCCTTCTACCACATAAGGACATAGCATTAAATGCACCATCTTAGAAGCAGTGACTGGGCCCTCCAGATAACAGACCTCTTGGTGCCTTGATCTTGGGCTTCCTAGCCTTTAAAAATGTGAAAAATAATTTTCTGTTGTTTATAAGTTATCCAGTTTATATGATTTTGTTATAGCAGCCCAAACAGACTGACAGCATCTATTGAGATGAGTATGTGGGTTTTGTCCTTTTTTCTATTAATAGGTAAATTACCTTGCATTCCTGGGATAAAGCTACTTGGTTATGGCATGTAATCTTTTTTCTATCATGCTACATTTTGTTTTATAATATTTTGTTGAGGACTTTTCCTTGTATGTTCATCAAGGGTAAGAGTCGGTAGTTTTTTGTGAAGTCTTTGTCTGCATTTAATATCAGGGTAAAACTGTTATCACA